ATATTTACAGGAGATGGAATGGACGATAGAGAAATAAATAACAGAGTAATACAGGCACGAAGAGTTATCAGATGCATAAATGGCATTCTATGGAGCACTGAAATTACAAAAAACAGGAAATATAATATATACGAGACACTAGTTAAAAGCATATTACTACTCTATGGATGTGAAACATGGCGTTTCACTTCGGAAAGGAATACAAGAAAATTAGACAACAGAAATGGACGCGATTAGAAGAGCAATGAGAATTTCACAGAGGGATAAGATCAGAAATGAAGACATTATACAACAGATGGGAATAGAGGGAACAACAGTAAATGATATAGAACAAAAACAATTAATATGGTACGGTCACGTTCAGAGAATGCACAATGAAAGAATTCCAAAACAAGTCATTCATTGGATACCACCTGGTAAATGAAAGAGAGGACGCCCGAAGAAAACATGGATGGAAGGAATAAGAAGGTCGATGAGCGAGAAAAACATTTAGAGGGCGTCGTGAGAGAAATGATCAACTTTGTAAATAACTCATTTTCCTACAGTTGACTTGTCGAGAAAGTCTGGGATTTTCACTGGAGTAGAAATCTACAAATTAAAGAAGTTATTTTTTGTAAACACCACGGCGTTGAATCCAAACGGAAACCAGCTTGTCAGTTAGTTTCGAAACTCAGTGAAAATCAACAGCCAACTTTGTTTTCCCATTTTCGTTCCCGCGAGATATTAATTTATCCGAACCTAAATTGCTATTCAACGGCTGATTCAATTAGAAATTGATAGATTCAACGATGAAATTCTATTAAATTGATCCATTTTCCGACGCTACATCGCCGAGCCGTCACTTATCGAATTTAGGTCAAGTTTAATAAGCGGACTGATACCTATTTTTATCTCTTAACTGAAACATAAGTAGGTCACATCGCGTTTGATAATAACCAGCCCGCTGACAACGGAGCTATTTCTTAGTTATTTTTCGTCGATTGTATGTATTTTTATAACGTGAAAGGTGGCTTTGATCGAAATTCTTCGGAAGAAAACCGGCGCGGTCTTCACTTTGGATATTATGACACCGTTTTGACAGAAATGGAGGATCTTTTCGATAGTTTATTGCGCAGTTTTGTGGCGGGTGAGTTGAAATAATTAAACCGGAAATCCAATTTTATTTTTTTATATATGGCCTATAATTATGAATCTAGCTTGGTTTTTATAGCAATCAACAAGTATTAAAATGCAAAAAATATGTTAAAATTGGTTAATAAAAGTATATTTTTATTTTTTTTTCTATACAGGGTGTTCCTTAATGACATTCTTAGGGGCTGATTCTTAGACCTATTCTAAGAGATACAGTGTGGTAAAATTTTCTAAAAAAACTTCTCTTCATAATTACTCTGATTTTATTATAGATATCTTTATGAAACTTGATACACGTGTTCTTCATCAAAATATCTTTTTTGGTGGATAAATAATTTTATTTCTTTCAACCAGTGCCGTCTATACGGGTTTTACATTTAATATTTTTGGAGAAAAAAGTGGTTTGGTACACCACTGACTTCCCTTAATGTAGAATGTTTAGGAGGGGAGTTAATCCACGCGACCTTACAGATCTTTTGTGTGTTCCCCTTTCTTGAGTTATAACGAGTTATAACTTATCGCACAGTCTCAGGGCTTTAACAAAAGCCAGTATCTGAGACGACTCCACAGAGGCCAGCTCGCCATCCTCGACATCAGCCGTACCAAAGTTCATGGCAAGGTACAGCTTGCCATACTAGAGCCGTTCGGTATACAAGGAAGGTAATGTGGCTAGCACTACGCTTCAACCGCCTATTATTATTACCTCAGGACTGTGAATCCCAAGTACTCATTTGAGGCTGAGTCGACCTAGGTACCCAAACTATTTTTATTTTAATAAAAATAGTCGGCTGATGAAATGCCGGGTGTGGGATTATTATATTAATATCTTTAGATAATTTTCAAATATTGATTTCTAAATATTTTTTATCTTTTGATTTTTTCCCTCCGACGCGACGCATAGTTTTTGCTTAAAAAAAGTCAGATTACTTTAGGGTGAAATCGCTGAAAATCTGTTGCGGTGGCTGTTCATCAATCATTTCTGCATCAGCTGGAAGAAAATTAAGAAATAAAACATTTTTTTTGTAGGTATATCAAAATTATCATGTATGGAAGACGTGTTATCAAATATAACATTAGAGATTTTTTGAAAAAGAAAGTTTTACCACGCTGTATCTGAAAAATTAACAGGTTTAGGCCATATATTCATATGAAGTTTTTTTCTTAGAATAGGCCCAAGAATCACCTCCCTAAATATTAGCATGTCATTAAGGAACATCCTGTAGACACTTTAGTTCTACTAATGATAGCAAATGCAAGACCAAGACTCCCTTGGTCTTGGTCTTGCAGTCTAACGCAGTCTTGGCCTTGCCTTCTAGGATCCAATCTTGGTCTTGATCTTGCTACTTTTTTAATAGATTTTTACTAGAGGGACTACAGAATATTTTTAGATAAATAGTATTTAAAACAATCTAATGGAAATGAAAATCTAAAGCTAGGAACAACATTTGTTTCTGGTGCAAATTGTATTTTTCAATATAATTGAATTAGAATTGCTTCCTTTTAAACTTTATGCTAAACTATTTACAATAAATTAAAAAAATAATTTTAAACAAATAAGTAATGTTCTATAACATATTTGAATGGTTGAAATACATAGCGCCGTTACTAATACGCCAAGATGGTTATGTTTTTAATTATTATAAGGAGGAAGGGTTAGTAAATAAAAATTTCGTTACTTTTTTTTTTAATTAATATCTATGAAAAATAAGATGTAAATAGAAAAAAGTAAAAAAAAATAAAAGTCCGCAAGAGTCTTGTATGCTGGGTCTTGTGTAAGTCTTGCACGGTCATTCTTGGTCTTGCAGATCTGACGCTAGTCTTGGTCTTGTTTTTTGTGTAAGACCTAGACCAATACCAGTCTTGCAGACAGTCGTGTTCTCTTTCTCAAATTGTCTATTGGTCCCAATCCAAATTATGAAGGAAGCGCTGTGTAAGTTAAATACCTAGTTTGAAATTATTAAAAAAACAATGGAAGTTTGAAAATATTTTAGTAGGTTTCAATATTGAATCATTGTTTACCACATTTACAGAAAAATTATTAATTGAATCATTATGTGTATTTTTTTGTTCATGCATGCAGAAACAAACATCTTAAGAAAAATGAATTAAACATTTACCATTCTGTTTATATTAAAGCGTTTGCTGACAACCGCCGTATTAAGTTCACCACCCTCCTCCTCGTAATCCATCCGTCATCGTCTACCTCCACCGATATGAAAAACGAGCGGCCGCTCGGCAATCAAGGGTGGCGTAGGGCAGGTCTTAAAGGGTTCTTTTTCTCGCCTCCCCCGAAGAGAAGCGCGCCAACGCCGGCGTCGTCGTCGCGGACGTCGCGATGCGATGGTGACCACATGATGCGCGCCGCAAAAGTGGGTCAGTAGGACACCCCCGCTCCGGCATCTCACGGCCGCGTCGAGCCCCACTACGTGCGTCGTTCGCCGTCCGCCGTTGCCGGACTTTCGAAAATGTAGAGAAGTTACGGAGAATGTAGTTGTAGTGTTTGTATTAGTCTATGAGATGTATGAAAGGAAGAATGATAGTTATTTGTTTTCTATTTTTGCTTTTTGATATAAAACTGAATTACTATACAGGATGGTTCGAATTATATTGGGAAAACTTCGGCAACATATTCTGCAGATAAAAACAAGTAAACAAGTTCGTATAAATTTATGCCTTAATATGTGGATATATACGGTCGATAGAGGGTGTATAAATTTCATTTTTATTTCAGTTTTTTCAAATAATTTCTGAACTATAGTCGATATTTGGATGAAAATTAGTGTTTTTGTGTGAATATGACTGCTACTTGTAGGACGCAGGACCTACATGTTTTTTAGTTGTTTGGAAGAGTAATAACTTTTCATCCGTACCTGTATAAAACTACTGACAAATGAAAAAATATACATTTTTGTCATTTTCTACGCAAAACAGGTCTCTTGGTTAAAATCGCTATAAGTAACCGTTCTAAAGATATATAGAATGGAAATAGTTAGTACATGTCTTTGCTATTAGATAGTTACAGTTATTAGATAGAGAAAGAGAGAGAGAAGTAGAAATTTGGGAACTTTTTATTTTTTTAAACTAATCATAAATTGTTCTTCAAAAAAATTACGTTAAACAGTTTCTCACAGCTATTTCAGTTTAACTATCTAATCTACTTTTTTACTAGATTTTTTTAACTACTATAAATTTCTTGAGAAGGGTTACTCGTAGCCAAGAGAGTAGCATTTTAGCCAAGAGATCTTTGCGTTGAAAATAATGCTATATTTTTTCAGTCAGTACTTTTATACAGGTACGGACGAAAACTTATTATTCTTCAACCAAGTTAAAATACAGTAGGTGGGTCCCCTTACAAGTAGGAGTCATTAACAATATTAACATTGAAATAAAATTTACCATATTAAAAAACACCCAGATACTAATTTTCATCTAAACATCGAAGAGAGTTTAGAAATTATTTCGAAAAATTTAAATAAAAATAAAATTTCTATACCCAATCTCTGAAACGTAGCATTTTACGACATAAATTTATTTATAATTTATTTTTATCTGCAAAATCTAACTTTAAAAATACATAACATATCCGAAAACAGTGTATGGAAAAATAAATGCCACAGAGCGTATTCAAAATATGGACAAATTATTTATTAGTCTAGGTATTAATGAGTGTTGTGATTTAATATATTTACTTATCCAGAAATTAATATAAATGAATGCAAGTTTGTATGCAAGTGGGTCTGTTACAAAGTGTCTTATTGAAACTTTTGTTGGTTTGGAGAGTGAGAGCTAAAAAGCGGCAACGCTGTCCGGCGCGCTCCACTGTGCGAGATGTGTTGTAAGTGTGTATGTATGACTTCACAGCAGTAACATAGACCTGGTTCAATGGAAAGTAGGTCAGTCACTTTCACTTGTTATTACACGGGCCTGCTGTAATCATTTCGCGTCGTACCCCCGTCCAAGCCGGCCGTTTTTCGTCCAACCCGCTCCACTGGGCCAGTGCCGCGTCGTCGTCCGCTCTCATCGGACGCATTCTCACTTTTTCTCTCTTCTTTCTTTCGCGAGTGCCCTCATTGGATTACTCTCGCCGAACTCTCTTGTGTTGTATCAGTGCCTTATTATGCTCTTATGCAGGTGACAAACATCTCTCGTAGTTCGCGTCCCTTAAGAAATGTTACTTGACATGGAAAACCATTCGACGTTGTTGTCTTTGAACATGTCCCCCTTCAGCGCGTCGCAGGGGGACTCGCCCGTCGCCACCCAGGCCTCCAGCCCCCTGAGCCACTACGGCTCGCCGCCCCTCACCACCGCGTACGGCAGCTGTCAGCAGGCGACGATGGTGGGCGGCATGGGCCAGCACCATGCCGCCTCCATGATGATGGGCCAGACCATGGCTAACCTGGACACGTCCTATCTGTTTTCAGGCACGCAGACCATCGCGGGCCTGGACGTGGGGGCCGCCTACCAGATCACCGGCGGCCCGGCCACCTCCCTGGCCGGGGGCGGCGGCGACATGCCCGACACCAAGGACGGGATCGAGGAACTGTGTCCGGTGTGCGGCGACAAGGTGTCCGGCTACCATTACGGCCTGCTCACCTGCGAGTCCTGCAAGGGCTTCTTCAAAAGGACCGTGCAAAACAAAAAGGTGTACACGTGCGTCGCCGAGCGCAGCTGTCACATCGACAAGACCCAGAGGAAACGGTGTCCGTACTGCCGCTTCCAGAAATGCCTGGAGGTCGGAATGAAGCTCGAAGGTGAGTCTATTTTTTCTTTTTATTTGCAGTATATCTGTGTATAATGTCTCGGACTCTTTTAAAACGGTTAAAATTAACTAACCAATACGAATTTATTAAAATCTTTTCGAAAATTAATTAGGTCACTAACTAATTAAGCCAAAAAATATCGAAATTGCATTTTCAGTGTATTTTTTTGTCGAAATCATTTCAAAATCCATAACCGGTAAATACAATTAGAATATTCTTCAGCTAAATCATAGCTTCCAAATCTTCATTAAATTAGGTCATCATTTATAAGGGTATTTAAGATTACTCAAAAAGGATAAAGTTGTATTTTCAATATATTTTTTTGTTGGAATCATTTCAAAATACAGATCCTTTAAACACAACTAGAATGTCTAATATGATTCTTCAGTTAATCATAACTTCCAAAACGTTATTACTAGATCACCAATTATTTAAGGTTACTGAAAAGGAATGAAATAGTATTTTAAATACCGTATGATCGAATAAAAACGGAGTCAGCGATGGCTATGAAATGAAAATTGCTGTCATTTTATATGTAAATTTATATGGGAAATGTCATCGATCGTCATTTCTAAGCCAACTGGACGCCGTTTTTATTCGATCATACGGTATATTTTTTTGGTTGATATCATTTCAAAATACAGATCCTTTAAACCCAACTAGAACGTCTAATGATTCTTGGGTTAAACTTCCAAAACTTATTAAATTAGGTCACCCGAGAGGTCACCAGTTATTTGAATTTTTTTACTGAATGGGATTTCAACATAAATTTACATATCAATAATTAAGAACTACCTCAATGGCAGTTAATATAAAATCATTTAAAGAAAAACGAGAAGAGAAAGGAAAAGTGATTTTTGTTTATTTATATCTCGATTTATGTATTGCCAAAGATTCAAGTATTGAAAAGTCTTTTTATACAGTTTGTTTTCATTAGATTGGAGTTAACTAATTAAGGTTTAGCTGGGACTCTTAAAACACAGTATACACGTTACTTGGAAATTGTTGTTAAATTAGGGCACACACCAGTTAATAATAATTACTCAGAAAGATCGAAAGTAACTTTTAATAATTAGAAATTATTTCAAAATACGGCGAGTGATCAATTTTGTACTAACTTAATCACAGCGCTACGAAATATTTTAGAAATGAAAAGTGAAAAGTTTCTTTGTTTAGGTGTTCAGGTATGATTGGGGTTAATGAGGGTTAGTCTGAGATTCTTTAAAACTAACTAAAATGTGGAAGTAAACTGAAATCTTATATAAAAACATTTCTTTGGAAACGTTATTAATCAAATTAGTAGTCTCCAGTTAATTACTCAAAAGTTTGAAATTGTATTTCTAAAGTATTTTCTATTTAAATAATTTCAAGTGGCTAAAGAATAAATAATAAATATTTTACATATAAAAAGTGAAAACGGTTTTTTGTTTATTCATATATTGTTACAAAATGCGAGTACAAAATACACTACACATAATTTTCTTCACCGAATATGAATGAATCCATATGATCAGATAAGTTTGTGATGATCAAGAGAGATTATGCTTTGACCCGAGCTTTGATCGTTATTCTAATAAAAAAATCCAATAAGACTTATTTTTCTATCATCATCCAAAGCAGGCTCGATCATAAGAATTTTTGATCATATTATATTACTTAATATAGTCTTTTACAATGTGATCAAAACAAAGTCTCGTACAATTAAAACATAACTTAGTTCTTTTGGTAATCAAGTAGGGCAGTAAGTTGTCTACTGTTCGTGATTCAAATATGTACAGAATTTTATTGTCTCATATCTATAAGAATCGGGGTTAATAGATGTACATATGATTTTAAATATATAAAATATTATAAAACACATAATTAGTTTATATCGAATATAATAAGAATATAAGAGAATATTTAAACAACCAACTATTTTCAAAATTGGTCCTTCAAAGTGTCGTTATAATGCAAAACATTTTTGTTATATTATTTTAATTTAATAATTATTTTCGATATGGGCTGCTAATTGTGTCACTGTGTAATTAGGTTAAGGTTAATTGAGCTTTAATTAAAAAAAAGTGGAACTGAGGTTATCATATAACAATTATTGTTATTTAAGCACAATATAAATATTAATTAGTCAATTTACTATTTTTAATTTATTTTAACGCAAATCCAAGCATAAATAAGTTGGTTTATCTTCTACAGAAACGTTATATTAGTGGATTTCGTATTATTAATGTAAAATTATTCGAAAAAATGTTGTTATTTTAATTATTCTTCCAAAAATATACCATTTTAACAGTAGAAAACACATTATTCTTAGTGTCTAGTGTTTATACATTTTTTGTTAAAAGACCTTAGACACTTTTCTGTATCTTTTATGGACCTATATTTTACTTGTGTTCTCTCAATGTATTTATTATATTTAGTCCAGCCTAGATATTTCTCCATAACTAGGTCAAGTCTAGCTCTCCCAATAATATTGTATGTTTGAAAACATAAATGTTTTAATTGATAAGATTATGTTTACTAATGCTTTTATAAAGACTACTCTACAAAATTAAATCTATTCTCCAATTGAATATATAAAATATCTAAACAATACTTTATTTTTTTTATTTCTCTAAATTAGAGATGGGCAAAAGTAACCGGTATTTTCCTCTAAAATAACCGGTTATTTAAAGCTAGTTTTTTTTTCATCAGTTAACCTAATAACCTTGCATTACGTTCAATAACCTATAGCCGGTTATTTTTTAAAAAATCGTACTTGTTTAAAACAAGTAACAATTAAATATTAGCTGTTTGAATCGTAAATTTCGAAGAAGCGAACGGCACGGATCTTCCAGATATTACGACGATAACGGGAGATCCCGCTCCCGCTCCCAAAACGAAAATATATGACATCAAACATCAAATGTCAAAATTAAATCAGGCATCAGGCGAACCCTGATGATAATAATCAAAACAACGGCCGAATGGCCCTGACAGGTCAGGCCGTAAAACAAAGTACTAATGGCATAGACTACTACTAGCCACCAGCTAGCCAAGTGATACGAACCTAACTTCAAATAGATTCTCTAAATTCTATATTTAAATTTTAACCGACTTTAACGGATTTTCAACGGTTCTTCAAAAGTTTCCATGGTTTCGCCCAGTTTCACCGACGTTTCACCGTAAATATATTTTATTTGTACTTTGAAGTCTCTCTTGAAGCTTAGACTAAAGAATACAAAATTGAAGTTCAAGTAATGAATGAAGATAATCTTTCAATATCTATTCATTCAGTCTCCTTATTTTTCTTTGGTATTTGATTAAAATAACTTGGTTGTAGATTGTAGAACTTGTGAGTTGTGTAGTTTATTTGAACGTTAAGTAATTACTAGTTTTAATATTTAATATTATATCCATGTCTACTCAAAAAAGTGAGGTTAGCATTTTTATTTAAATTCATTTTGTACATATACATACTTACATTGCTACAATCTCTATTTAATCATGCGATTTAACTAAGTTTATTATCTAAATTTGAAGTAGACCTATGGAGTGTAGAGGTAAGTAAACCTATAGGAAAACTAAATATTTAGTTTTGCTAGGTTAGGTTATTTGAATAACCGGTTAATTTGTGTCGGTTAATTTTGTCAAGTTATTATTTTTTAAAGATAATTCCGGTTAACCTATAACCGGTTTTTTACCAATAACCGCCCATCTCTACTCTAAATATCCTGTAATGCATGCATCACTGTTTTTAAGTGTAATTGGTAGTTCTATGTATACTAGGGTACTACTTTGTTTTCAGTAGTATTTACTGACGTGTTCTTCGTTCGTAATATTTTATCGACATATTCCACAGTATTTTATATTTAGACTGTTCTAGATATTTTATAAAGTAGGTCAAGTCTAGCTGCCAATAATATTATGCTGGAAAGTTATTATTATTATGTTGTCGTAATTAATAACGTTTGATTTACTACATATTTTTTCTACAAGGACTGATGACGTAAATAGTCTAGAATTTGTAAAATTATCTGGTTATTTTGGAATTTATTAAGATAACGAGAGGTCAGCTATTCTACTAGATAGACATATTTATTTATTATTAAAATAGATATTACCTAAAAATAGAACATTATTTTTGCAATAAAACAATTTGTTAATTTTTTTTATTCCATAATTTCATTACATTGCTCTGTTGAACGTGATTTTTTTAGTATATTTTTAATCGCAAAGTAAAAACTTTTTGTAATTGTTAACTACCGATTTAAAAATAATCATAAAAATTTTCCATTGGTATTAAAAATAGTTTTGTTTGTTTTCAGATAATTTATATGTTATATGCAAGAAATGATTAATATTCATTTTATTTTTTTGGTTTATTTTTTACTGTAAAAAGAGCAGAAAATAATTATAAAAAAAGAATTTTTGAAGTGGAAAAAACTGTACCTACTTTAGTGGTTACATTGGTAACAGTTATCTGAAATTGTCAGTATGCAGGTCTTATATAGTTAATGATTAGCTAATAAACCATTTATGGCGAATTTTGAACAATAATCAAAGCTTTATCGGGGTCAATAAATAAAAAAAATATCAATTAAAATGTTATAGGGGTGTCAGTTCTTCTGATCATAGCTTGACATACACAAACGTCTAAATTAAATAGAACCAGATATTTCCAATATTAAATAAAATACTCCTTGTCTAGTAACTACGAGAGTAACTCCTTGTCTAGTTTTCTTGTTGATGGAAAGAATTTACTAATTAATTATAACAGTTTAAGAGAACACTACATAATTACAATATGTATGTTTTTTTTTTAATTTCTTCACAAAAAAAAACTGCAGTGAAAAATTTGCTAACAACTTTCTTAAATTAAAATTAGTAAAACTCTAAACGTTTTTACAACTATATGACTAAAGCATTCTTTGTTAATCTTAACCAAAAAGTATTTGTTTAAAATGCAAATACAATATGCAATTCATTCACGATATTTGCTATTCGCGCAATAC